CAGTCTGTAAATAATCGAATCTGGACTAGACAATCCAGTGATCAACAGCAAGAGCATCGATCTACACAACTGGGAACCGATGACATGTGTCAACCAAGTCAGCGAGCCTGACCACCCGATCCCGTTAGTCGCCTCTTACGACAAGCATGGGTTACTGAAGATCAATTCTAACCCGGATCTTCACGGGTACAGGACTTGGAACTTGAAGGTATTGTCTCGTCCGTATGTACACGTACCTGGTAGTAATGGGCCGGATAGTGGGGTATCCGGACTACAAGATTTTAGCTTCTTCCAGCAACATGCTTCCTCTCTATTAGAATAACATGTGCTTGTAGTTCCCACGAGTAACGTAATGTGTAGTGTTCATAAAACAGGGGATGAGAATGGCAAAGTGGAACTGAGAATGGGAGTTTCTGGCCTGAGGGAATTGTTATGCTGGAATGGATCACAATGAAATGCACGAGCTGGGAAAGGTGTGCGATGAGATTCTCGAGCTGGGAAAGGTGATACGATGGGATTCTCGAGCTGGGAAAGGTTATACCATGGGATTCTCGAACTGGTAAAGGTGATACGATGGGATTCTCGAGTTTGGAAAGGTGAAACGATGGGATTCTCGAGTTGGTACGATGGGATTCTCGAGTTGGGAAAGGTGATACGATGGGATTCTCGAGTTGGGAAAGGTAATACAATGGGATTCTCGAGTTGGGAAGGTGACACGATGGGATTCTCGAGTTAGGAAAGGTAATACGATGGGATTCTCAAGTTGGGAAAGATGGTGCAATGCTAGAGCTGGAAACGGTGATGCGATGTGATTCTCGAGTTGGGAAAGATGGTGCGATGGGTTTCTCGAGCTGGGAAAGATGATGTGATGCTAGATTTGGGAAAGTGTGACAATGGTATGCTGTGACAGGGGTGAGAATGGTATGCTATCTAGAGCTGTGACAGGGGTGAGAATGGTGTGCTCGAGCTGTGACAGGGGTGAGAATGGTATGGTAGAGATGTGAAGGGATGAGAATGGTATGTTAGAGCTGTGAAGGGATGAGGATGGTATGCTAGAGCTGTGAAGGGAGGATGTGAGAGGGATGAGGATGGTATGCTAGAAGAAGGGATGAGAATGGTATGCTAGAGCTGTGAAGGGATGAGAGCTGTGAAGGGATGGTATGCTAGAGCTGTGACAGGGGTGAGAATGGTATGCTAGAGCTGTGAAGGGATGAGAGCTGTGAGCAGGGATGTGAGAATGGTATGCTGCTAGAGCTGTGACAAGGGATGAGAATGGTATGCTAGAGCTGTGAAGGGATGAGAATGATGAGAATGGAAGGGATGTGTTAGAGCTGTGAAGGGATGAGAATGGTATGTTAGAGCTGTGAAGGGATGAGAATGGTATGCTAGAGCTGTGAAGGGATGAGAATGGTATGCTAGAGCTGTGAAGGGGTGAGAATGGTATGCTGTGAAGGGATGAGAGAATGGTATGCTAGAGCTGTGAAGGGATGAGAATGGTGGTATGTGAGAGCTGTGAAGGGATGAGAATGGTATGCTATGCTAGAGCTGCTGGGATGAGGGTATGAGAATGGTATGCTAGAGCTGTGAAGGGATGACAGGGCTAGAGAATGGTATGCTAGAGCTGTGAAGGGATGAGAATGGTATGCTAGAGCTGTGAAGGGATGAGAATGGTATGCTAGAGATGAGAGCTGTGACAGGGGTGAGCTGTGAATGGTATGCTATCTAGAGCTGTGAAGGGATGAGAATGGTATGCTATCTGTGAGCTGTGAAGGGCTGTGAAGAATGAGTATGGTATGCTAGAGCTGTGAAGGGATGAGAATGGTATGCTAGAGCTGTGAAGGGATGAGAATGGTATGCTACTCGAGAGCCGTGAAGGGATGAGAATGGTATGCTAGAGCTGTGAAGGGGTGAGAATGGTATGTTAGAGCTGTGAAGGGATGATAATGGTATGCTAGAGCTGTGAAGGGATGATAATGGTATGTTAGAGCTGTGAAGGGATGATAATGGTATGCTAGAGCTGTGAAGGGATGAGAATGGTATGCTAGAGCTGTGAAGGGATGAGAATGGTATGCTAGAGCTGTGAAGGGATGATAATGGTATGCTAGAGCTGTGACAGGGGTGAGAATGGTATGCTGGAGCTGTGAAGGGATGAGAATGGTATGTTAGAGCTGTGAAGGGGGTGAAACTGATTTGCCGGATCTGAGCAGGCAGCGAGAATGGTTTGCTAGTTATGAATTTGATGAGAAAGTTTTGCTGGAGCTGGGAAGGGGCCGAGAATGGTACATTGTGACCTGGGTGATCACATAAGGTGGAATGGAATAGGATGTTATTTATGCCAAGAAATGGGCTGATTGCATAGACAGAGCAATGTTTTCACATAAACCACAGGTACTCTGTTGTGATAATAACTCGGTTCCAACAACTCCGACCTTATTAACAAAATCACACACAGTGGATACTTATTATAATCCATTTGCACGTTGTTATTATTTTTAAATTGTACTATTACGAGATACATGTAAAACCTAAGGGATGTTCAATACAGAAATATAATTTTAGTCCCCTTATTATACATTATGTTCACCTTCACATATCACAGACAAAACTTATGAATCTTGTCCCACATTGTTTCACGGTCAACAGTATTACCAGAGGATTCCACATAACGGTCTCATCACGTGTTCCATACTCATGACAATCTGCAAAATGAATAGGTGTCATAATATAAGTGGCTTAGTTTATGTTTTTCGAAGTGTTTTGTATGTTTAACAAGAACGAAACATACACCCTAAACTGAATAATGTACATATGACGCGTATAACATTCAAACTTTCATTTGAATTCAAGAGTACAACTGGAGGGCCCATGTGTCTTTGTGCGCGAACAGCCGGTCTGATCCCCCGGTGCAGTCAGCGCCTGACAGAGTTGCGCCCCCTTGACCATTAGCTCTCGTCAGTCCCATTTGCAGCAAGCGAGTACCGCACGGTCCTCTACCCCTGTGCGAGACAGATCATTAGTTCGATATCTGATATGGTATTTGTAGGCCATGGTTCGTTGATGTAAAAAGGTAATACAAAATTACCATTTTCTATAATTCATAATATTAAGCAAATATTTTAATCATATACGGGTAAAATGCAAATACGTCCCAACCTCTGGCAAAACTTAACGAGATGTTGAAATCCTACATATTGTCCAGGTCAGGTTTGATTCCAATAATTGGTATAATTACCCCGCAGTAAATATTTAAATGAAATGCTACAAAAAGTGCTTCATTGGTTGATTTAAGATGCTCTTAAAAATACATGCGGGTTACGAGTTTTATCCGTTGTCGGAATTGTGTGTTGATCAATATCAGCTTATAACTCTCATCTTACAAATCCACGGGATGGCCAACAATGGTTGTTATGTACACATGTAGCCAGTCAACTGTCAACTGGTCGAGAAATGAGAAGAAAAATCAGTTTTCGAAAATCGCCCTGGGCAGTGAAATTGACAATGTTCACCTTGCTTCGGAACAAGCTGGATATGAGGAATTCGTGTATGGCGCATCTATCATCACGCGTGATTGAGTGAAATTGACAACCTTTGACGTGTTTACACCCGCAGTGTTGCCAATAACACAAGGGAGAATCGCCACCCCCGGGCAGAAATCACCACGCGCTTGCCTGAGGGTGAGGCTCCGTCGACCCATACAGGAGCTTATCAACCAGAAACAACGGACTTTGTTTCGCCAAGTATTGATCACTGCCGAAGGCCAAAGAATTATAGCGGAGTAATCAAATTGGGCGCAAGATTGTGAATATACATCTCTTATTGTGTGTTTATTTAACGAAGAGAGCCACTTTCCTAAATGTTTATTCAATGAAGAATAAGGGGGCGTGGTTCGTTAAGTACAGAAATTGAGTAGTTTATTGACTTAGGTTAAGGTGCGCGACGGGGAAATTTAAATTACCTGACCAAATTCCATAGCGGTAAACTGACAGTCTCAGGAGCAATTTTTATGTTAAATACAAAAATTTCGGTTTTGAATGAAATTTTTAAATACCGTTTTTAAATGAGCTTTTGAACAATCTGTGTTGAATCGCTCTTGAGGATGGTAATGATTTGTCATAGCCAAGAAAGGCAGCATGACAATTGTAGAGCGTTTTCACATCAAGTTCATGCACTTTATTTTTTCAACTTCAAATATTTAAATAAACTAGATTTGTAAAATTACACTAGGCTCTCTTTAATAACGTCAATGAGGAAAACCGCTTGGTTTAAAGTTGTAACTAGGGATGCATAATCAACCTGAAATACGAAAATTCATTCTTTGCTGTGTAACACGTTTATATAGACGTCGTTGTTTTATTAAAACCGCACGTTAATTCAAAGATGGGATAGTTAATGACCTTCAGATTGAAAATACTATTTACGAACCTAAATATGTTTTGGAGACACCAGCTAGCATGATTCATGGGTGCCGGACAAAGGAAGTCGATATTTAGCCGGATATACTGTTCATGAGACGTAAAGCATAAATAACATTCTCTGCGGCAAATATATAACACTGACAACATCATTACAGACAAAGATTGCCGGACTGTGGTTAATTTAACATTTGAGATTATTTTAATGTGTTGCAACGTGAATTTCCGTTTTGGCGCGTGATGCGAGTCCCCCTGTCTGTCACCCCACGGGGACATGATGTCGAGTTTGTACTCTTCCCGAAAAACATTGAGTAAAATTAGAAATCTCTGTGTTTCTAGCCTGCGCCTATTGGTGTAATTGACGATGATAAGTTGTTAATCATTTTCACTTATCTTTAATCACGGCAAACCAAATCTCCAAGCATCTGGCTTCTTTCATTTCTTATGGCACTTTGTCATGCGCGGTGGGCGGAGCCTCCTTGTGCTGTCACTCAAACTGTGTAGGCGGAGCTAAGCTCCTGCAGCCGTAACCGATCGATAAAAGTCTCCTTAGCTGAGCTATCGCTTGCACCAATGAGAGAAAAGCACAGTGACGAGTTCCAATTATATGGGCGAAGTGGCGATCCTACGGTAAATACACGATGGAGAGCTGAGCAATGATTCAATATTAATGAGGAAAGGGATAAGAAATATGAAAAGTGTGGCACGATAGGCGAGCAAAACGGTTCATGTGTCTCGTTGTCGACACAAGGTGTCTCGAGTGACCCAGGCCTTTGATTGAACAGTTGCACAGCCCAGCCGAGGTAGCTCAACGCTCCATCTCTCAGTGGATATATAGAATACGTTCTCTACACACGTATCAAGTTGACGGAAATCTGGAAACACCAATGATGGCTTATGCCCATTTACCGTTTCCTGCCACGACCACCAATCTACCAACAACGCAGGTAAGAAATTGACACAGTTCCGTGTATATATCATCTTTGTATATATCATGTATATATCATCCTTGTCTGCCAGTCTTTTCTCCTTCTGACACCGTCGAGATGTCGCGCTTGTGTCAACATAGTGACGTCATGTTGTTCGTGACGATTTTAGTTTGTCACGTAGTTTCTGCCCTGTTTTACATGCCTTTGTCCTGGTTGTTTTCCTGTAGATTACAGAATCCCAATTCTTTCAAAAACTTTTATTAAACCACTAAATGTCTCATCGTTTGAATTAAATGTTTGCTTGACAAGCAAGTTTCCAACGTCTGTCACCTACTGAGCGTTAAGTCAGGTTTGCTGCCCCAGGAGTCCTGTGCCCATCTGAATTACTAGTATACGTTCATTTCCTCTCGTTACGGAAATTAAAAGTCTTAAGTGTTTCGACATTAATATATTTCAAAATTATTCAAATATAACCGACGTTTTAATTTAGAAATGTTTTTATAAGACATCACTTATTTATTCATAATCTTAGTGGCGTTCACTTATATAAATTCATTTATATATTTGTCGCAGATGATATGTGTAGTATATGTCGATACTTTTTCCGTCTGTCACTGTTTCATGAAATGTATGATTATATGAACATTGTGTTTATGTTTATGTTGACTCGAATATATCATACATACCATACATATTTATCATTTCAATAAAAACCTTGGACATGAATATCTATGTCAGTGTGTAATGAGGTTAGTGTTAGTTTAGGGGAATTTAGGCAACCTCAGAAATACATTCAGACGAAGGCTTGTTCTATCCCAATATCATAAAAAATACTGAAGGCGAAGTTAAAGCTTTATGATTTTAATCATAGATTGTAACCACGCGCCATAGATAGCATTGTAGACCAAGTCGAGGGGAATGTCAGTATTAATATTCTCTGTTGGCATATTTTGTGTTGTGCATTCAAATGGTAATTGTTGTAGCAGGATTTATTGTGATCGTATTAACAGCGACGGTATTCAGAAAACGTAACTGTGGCCAAATTATACAGACGCAATGGGCATGAAGCCGGTTTTATCTCTTTAAACAAGTCCATATAATGGTAACGGAGTTTGTTTATGGTTATAAATACGTGTCTTTTGGTATATTATTCCAGTGGGTTATATCTGACAGAATCATTGACTAACAATGCCCGTGTCTTACCCAAATAATACAGTGCGTTGAACTGCTCAACTACTGAACTAGCGTGAAGTCAGTGTTCACTGTCAATCATAGTATTTATCATGTGTACATTGAACCTATCGTATGGGTCAATGTGTTCGTGGCAAGGATATTAACATGTACAAAACTTCTTTTTTTTTCTTTACTAACCGCGTTCGTTTCTCTTCAGATGAGCCCCCCAAGTTCTGCCCCGACCCCCCGGGCTTGTTGTGAAAACGGTCGGCCAGTTATGACTGACCCCCACACTGGCCAGACTATTTGCTCTTGTCAGTACGGGTCAGCTCTTCTCAATTCCTACCAGCGACTCCCGGGACTAGCTTCCAACCTCCTGGGTGCTGCCCCATACAGCGGGACTGGGACACAGGGATATGTCGGACTGGGATCCGAGGGCTCTGCTTTCTATAGTCCACTTGTAAGTTAAATCTTATTTTCCACCCGAGCGCTTTCATTGAGGTGTGCTAAGCACCATGTTTATGACCATGCATCCCCATATATGTTTTTACGATGTGGAATGTCCCATCGAATGGAGCCTTACCCATCGCGATCGCCCCGGGGACCCGACGCGAGTCGACTCTCCGACTTCGCTGACCAACCACCCTAGGTGAACCACACAGCGATGTTCGCGCCGGTGTTGTCTGTTGGCCATTAGTTAAGCATCTTCCACATGCTATGAGGCCGACATGACAACTTTACTGTCACTTATGAGCATATCAGGCGGTAGTTATCGTGTCAGGGAGGTCAAAATTTGTATGATGAATTCAGTAGATTTGTGATTCGCCATCAAAACATTCGGTTCTCTGTGTGAAATGTAAATAGATATTGAAGCTTGCTAAGAGGTCGCTGGCAGGCGTATCTTTTATCAGGAACATCCAGTTCCCATGCCAAGGAGCTCCTCGCCATTAGCTTGACTTCCCCTCCAAAAGGCCCACCGCACGCCGAGTCTACAAGCACTGGCTTGACAACTTACCTCACGGGACGTCCAATATGGCTGACAAGGAAAAGTAGCAGACGACATCTCAATAACGCGCGAAAAGGCGCACGGGCAGATCGGTTTTCCCTACTATCGCGAGAATCCGTCATTTTTCAACCCTTCCCAGAACGGCTCATACTTCTGGGTTAGTTTGACACGTACGAGGCCACAGAGCAAATTGTTGTGTGAAAAAGTTGAAATTTTTTGCATACATTTCACAAATTTCACACTCCCCTGTCAAGACCTTTCTAAATGTATTTAAAGCAAATTATATGTATTTACACACTTGCATTTATCCCAGCCAGGGATGATTTTTTAAATTTGGAAACACTCGACCGCCTTGCATGTTCTTTTATACAAACCTTTCAAGAATTCCTATGAAAGATGGTGACTTCTGACCAGACTTTTAACGCCGTTTGACATTGGTTAATAACCGTTCACGAAATAGCAGACATGTGTTAAACATATATATATTGGTACATAGCCAGGGGTGATGTTCGGAATTTCATTTATCAATAAACGTTTGTGTAATTGTATTTCGAGATATGAAACAAATGTCCAGTCAATGAGACGCCCGAATTTAGATTAAACTTTCATAGCAATCTGAAAAGCTTTCTTTATTACGCATATGGTTAAAGCCACAGTGTAATGTTTGATATGACAACATGACGAGTGTCTATTTAATGGAGTCGATGTTGAAAATTAATAATCGAAAATAAAAGACCATTTTAAATAAATTACAATTATTATGATGATTATCTGTAATTTTAAATAAGTTCTAACATTTATGACTAACGCTGATATTATCATATTATCAATGCGGGTAATTATCATATTCAAGTGTAAGATCGTTAAATTTCGAAAAAAAACATTCAAACGACTTACTTCGATTTAGTCTAATAGTCGACGTGGTTTTGTTGCATAGATGCTCTATGCTCTGCATAGACGCTCATCTTTGTCCCATAGATGATTTTGTTGCAAAAATGCTTGACGTCTTTATGTTATGACATTATTGGGCGTTTGGCTATGTCTTCTCACATCATGTCTTTATTTATATATGTATGTACGTAGGGGCGTATATATTTATAGCCATTATTTATATGGCCATTGTTTATTATTTGACAATAACATAACGACTTACATATATCTATCTGTATATGGGGATGCAATATCTACCATATATTGTTAGTATAATTTTTATAACTATAATACGTTTTTCACCCCTGCTGGACCTAATCCCCCTCCTCATTACCCCCAGGGTGCACCGGGAACCAACATGAGGGATGGAGCCGAGGCGTGGCGCTCCCTCACCCAACCCGCCTTCACATACGAACCCTCAGTGGGGTTCTATCCTTACGGAGCCGGGTAAGAAAATATTTGTTTTTCTCTCCTTTTCACCTCACCTTTTATCATAGAACATCTACAAAGTGTTGAATTCTCTTTTCGTCATTATTCCGATGAATTCTTATTTTATTTTAGACACTGCTGATAGAGTTATCAAACTTCATTCGAATAAAACAAATATTTTGATTTGAAAAAGATAATTGTAGAAAGTTTGGCTGAAGCGTACAGTTTCAGTACCCCGATGCTTGGGGTGTTTATTTATTTACGACGGGGTTTGTTCGAAGACATTTATGAGTTCAAAACTGAAAATAAAAATTAATCAAGCGTGCCAAGTCATACAAGCTTGACATAAGGGTGAATATCTCTCTTGGATGATTGCCTCCTATCGGCATCTCTCTGTGCTTTATGTCCATTTCACGGTTTTGTGGCCCTTCCTACTATTAACCTGTCTCCACTCTCGGGTTTTGTTGTACATTTCAGTTTAAACATGTTTATATCAAACAGCTGATGAGTGGAACCATTGTTCAACCGGGTGCCCTTATCAATTACATATGACCTATAACTGTAATCTGATCTCGTCACAGTGGGCTGTAAATGCCATCTTGTGTTATGAGGATGTTTGTTCTGAAATGCATATTGTTTGTTCTTCAGGGTGTATTTTATGTTTATTTTGGATGCGACTTAAAAAAACAGGTTTACTAACAAACTACTGAATTAACCCTATCACATACTGGAAAGATATATTTGAAGTAAAAATGTAAAAGGAAGAAAGCTACACAAATTTAAAATCAGTATATATTTTCAGGTGTCACTCGATACAGTACGCGTACATGAGAAATTATTAGGTTCTGTTTCGATTCATCACGGAAAGTAAAAAAAAGAAAGTTAACATAAATTAACATAATCGTACCCCATATCCTGATTATGGAAAAAAAATCCCGAAAAGCAGGAAAATAATATATTATGGCTTCATGAACGTTCGTTTGAAGTCCTTTCCCACCCAACCCGCATATTTAGCCCCCTGCCCCTAGTTCCCGGTTTTCTCATCTGTAAACATGTTTAACTTGATAAACACGTGTCACAGGGTGTCGATATGAACAAAGTCATATTAACTGACATCAGCACATGTTGAATACACATTTCTGACTCACATGAATTCGGATAATAGAACTCAATGCCCTCAAGCAGAAAGATAATTTTATCAAGTTAACATAATGTACCAAATCGATGAAAACATAGTGGATGCTTGTAAATATGATTAGGGCGTGTAGATTTCAGTCGCGTCCAATGTGAGCTTGTACATTTCATTTATCAGCCCATAGGTCACTTGAAACACGTGAATAGGGATTTGCAGTTATCGATGTGATAAAAGATGCATAAAAGTCCCATATGTTAATACCTGACACACCACAGATACAATGCAAATATACCACAGCTGGCTACATATCAACATGTATGTCATAAATTAATTATTAACATCCCAACGGTGAAATGCTTGGATAAGAAAAGAATATTTAATAATTAGTGATGAGCATGAATATTTTCATGTTCGTGCCTTTGTGATACATGGAACGTATGTCAATCGTACATTTATTCGTCAGCTGATCCAGGTTTTATGAAACTGTCGATCGATATTTTGTGTTCAATACTCATATTGGTGGTTACCATTTTAACGGAAGAGGTTTAGATGAAAGTATTTGACGGTTGTCATATATACATCGTCAATGCATTGTCTGTACACATATGTATGTAACAAGAATGGAGTTATCTCTAATCTGAATATTGCAATGGTTAACAAGTAACGCATACCGCCCTTCTTTGTTTGAAACCTGGGCATCCTTCAGCATGCCACCCAGATTTTTTTATCTGGTTTATATTCTTGTTAATTCTAATCCTGTTACTAGAAAGTAACGATAACCCACCACCATCGCATCCTTATCTGGAGCACGCGTGTGGATTGTATCAAGCCAGTTGAACCGTGAGGCTGACGTAGTCGTAAGCAACTGCATTGTCCCTCCGAATGTCGGTATCCAAGTTGACAGACACTAGTTTGTTGATGATGTAGATATCCAGTGTAAGCTTATGATTGTCATCTTCCAAAGAACGACACTACACGATCTGACGACACTGATATAAGCGCTGACAGCTATGGACATGTGCAGCTGGGATAAACAATCCCGTCTCGAGATGCAGCGATTGTAAATTCACCCGACCATTTCATTGTTAGGGCATAAAAAGTAGCGATCTTATCGCAATGTCAGTATACAATGATTGCAACAGACATGAGTATATTTCACATTTCGTGTACATTTCTTGATATTTTTATGTCAACCCAACCCTCAGAGGGCCATCAAGATTGCAACATTACTACGGTTATTAATAGAAGATGCCTATCAAATCCTTCCTTTGTAAATCACGATGTAATAATAACCCTTTGTAGCCTTTTATCGTTTTGTAATGACTTACATACAGTCTGTAAGCTGCTACTTGACTTCTCGCCCCTCACGCATACAAGGTATTAACACTGTGATACATTTCAAATACACTGATGTCTATTTCATACCGAGATATTCCATTTATGGGAAAAGAACATATGGATGGGTGTCATTATAAGGGAAAACGGATGCGGGCTGTCGTCATATGTTTGTGTTTAGTGTTTATGGGTCAGTGACTCCCCTTTCCCCTACCCTCCTAAATCGTCTGTCCCATACCGAAATGAAATCGTTTCCATAAGTGGTTGAGATGGAGAATGAAAGGCTAGTAAATTAACATGTGTTCAACACTCACTTGATAGACAACAAAAGATAATATTTATTGCAGGAAACATTCCATTGCGGAACAGATGTTGTATTTAAATGACAAAACAGTTTGATTCTACATACATACATGCATAATTACTTGCATAAATACATACATGTAGACACACGGGGATCATTAAATATAATATCAGTTTTACAAATCTGATACTATTCATAAAATGTTATAGGTTGATTGTGAACAACGAGTATTTATTGTTTTATTAGAACGTTAAGAGATAATAATTATAATAAATGTCAACAAAAAGCATTGAAAACGTAAAAATATAATTATGAATATAGAAGAAAAAATCACCATCGTCATCATCATCGTCGTCATCATCATCATCATCATCATCATCATCATCATCATCATCATCTAAGTTAAGCCAATCGTGATCTAAGTTAAGCCGATACATTGTCTCTATTTACTCCCATCCAACCGCTGTCCCCAATCTGTAAAACTAATACAGTAAAGTTGTACAGCCTCCCTACCCATCTCTTCTGCCCTCCCTGCGCCCCACCTGTCTCCTCCTCCCCTCCCAGCGGCCGATTGTCTAGATACTCCACCAGGAAGCTCCCCTTAATGAACGGCTTACTACCAGGCGGCTCTTATTTCACTGGTGAAATAAACAACGAAATCAACACTGTCAAAATATAGGTGGACTTCCTGCGCGAGTGAAATGTATCCCACATGTCGTATTTAACTGTTACAGCCGAGCGAGACGCGACGAGAACGAGACACATTACCGCTCAATTATGCTTAATTGTCTCCCGTATCTCTTGGAGAGTTACATTAGCGGCGAAGGGTAATTTCTATCTCAAATTGGGAGTAAATCGCCTCAGCGTTACGCCAGAGACATTTCAGTGATAACGGCATTACGCGATGATGAGTCTTGTGTTGTGGCGTCTTTCGCTATGTTATGACACGTATGTCATCGTCAATTTCATCATCCTCCATCTTTGAAATATACGAGCAGTCGAGATGCTGCTGTATTAGACAATCTTTATAAGATGAGGTATCTTTAAACTCCCACCGCCCCTCACAACTTTACCCTCCCCTTTTAAAGACTTTTGCTACATTCTCGTTCCTCAATGTTTGTTTTTTCTTGACTTTCTATCGTGATGAATATGTATTTTATTCATGAGTTATGTAGGCAAAATATAACCACCTCATAACAACTAAATGCGGTATGAATTATCTCCCTTGAACCTTCTCTGAGGAAATGACAAAATCATTTTACGAAATAGACCTTCAACGTTTACATATTCATTATAAATTCTTAGATTCGAATATTGTTTTCCTTTAAAAACCAAATCACTCATCTGTCATAAACTTGATGTATATTGCTAACGTTTATTCTCATATGGTACTTATGATATATTACTATATTTGTAGATACGGTGGCCTAGACCTCAATGCTAGAAGGAAGAACGCTACAAGAGAGAGCACCAACACCCTGAAAGCGTGGTTGCAGGAACACATAAAGAACCCCTACCCCACAAAGGGGGAGAAGATCATGCTGGCCATCATCACAAAGATGACCTTGACCCAAGTGTCCACGTGGTTTGCCAACGCCAGAAGGAGGCTAAAGAAAGAAAATAAAATGACGTGGTCTCCTCGGAACCGTGGGGATGACGATGACAACTCCGGCGACGAGCGAGATGACGACGATGAGAAAGCTGATGAGGGAAAACTTTGCGATAAAGGTGAGCTGGAAATACTCGATCGCAATACCACAGATGATGAGTCGCCACTTTCCCCTATCTTTCTCCTTCTTCCATGCCTTGTTCTTGTCGCGCAGGTTTTTTCCCCCTTTTTCTCAGGGGAAAGTGGGGGTAGCCTAGTGGTTTAAGCGTCACGCCGAAGACCGGGTTCGATTCCCCACATGGGTACAATACGTGGAGCCTATTTCTGGAATATTGCGTAAAACCATACTCACTCACTCTTTCTTCTCTCTCGACACTTTTCTTTTTTTCTATTTGACTTTTTAATTCTTTAACCCCCGCATTCCCCTTCCTATTCTGTTCCTTCTCATCAGATTCCTCTTTCACCTGTTCTCCCAACATCATTCTTTATATTATTCCTACTTTCCGTACTTTTGACTTGTCTACTGTCTCATTCTCTACTTCCTTCTTTGTATCTTATATTCACCTTTCTTCATGTTTCCCACATTTCCCCATCAACCCATATTCTCTTCCTTTCTCTGTCGAGCCCGACACTACAAACACACAGTTCCCGCATGTACTCCCTTATTTTTACATGTACGGACCAGCACTCCATTTAATCCATCCCCTCCATTTGCCAACGATTCATACCACACCCTATCTCAGGCAATAGGCTCAAGAAATACGTTAGGTCTAGTCGACAACTGTTGTAGAGTTTCATCCCTGTCATTGTATATCAAGGTATAACAGAGCATGTCAATATCAGGTGTCAATCATTTTCTCCAATCTTCTTCAACCAATATTCCATATCAATCGCTGACAAATACGCAAATAAACTTTCCATTACAACAAATATCAGCTCCTCTGATCGATGAATTATTTAGAATTTTAATGTAGATTGTCTGCGAATTTTTCGAGTCATATTTCGCATAAACTGGTAACCATGATCCAACATTTATAAACCTAATACTATTATATCTAGTGTCAAATTATGCAAATTTCTTCAAAAACTAATTTGCATTGATCTTAACGGGCTTTTCATGTTCAACTTGACATTTCAAAGCTAAGTATTCATTTGATATATGCAAGAACAGCCAAGATAGATATCGTTTTTTCATAAGTGCTTAAATTGGTTTAACAAATTCGTTCCAATCTCACTGTGGCACGGTAACCTAATAAAAAATTGAATTTCAAAACATGCCTCATATTAAGGCGCATTAAATCATTTGCATAAAACCACTTAGACAAAGCAAATACGACCACAGCCCCGAGCGCCGGCGGCAGTTGGAAAGCGGACGATCTCAGTACAGAAGTAGTTGGTTAAAAACTGGGGGTGGGTGGGGAGCGAGGGGGTACAGAAGTCATGGCGGGGTTACATATGAAGAGGTTGAAGGGGAGGATTCAAGCAGTACAGTCAAAAAGAAAAGGGATCTAAATAATGTGGGTCAACGAATTTAAATCATACGATCACAAACTTTTATTCTAATTCTTTTATCCGGCATAAACAATTGTGCCACTTTCATTAGAATGACACCGTTCTCCCGCATTGTTACAGTTTGAAAGAAGGGCCATTTTAGCTCGCCCCAACACTCCCGGGATGACTTTCTTGGAAATCTGAAATTAACCCTTGAACACTGCACCTCATGTAATAGACGAAGGTTCATTAAGGGGCCCGAATCCCTATGATAGGCCTTTGATAAAGGCCCCTTTTATCTGCTGGACGCACAAAGATTATCATTACAGTAATCAACGACTTGAATGAACGGGAGACTGAAAGTTTTGGAATACAATTAACCCATCCTGAACAAACGTCTCCCGCAAGCGGCGCGTGTAAAATGCGCGCACTCGTCACGCGCTGCTGACGTCGTAATGATTGACATCTTGCAGTGAAATTGACATCGTCACGGCTGTCGGTCGGTAGTGGAACCCCACTGTGAGACCGTTGCCTGTTATTGACGAGATTTGATAGGAAGTTTCTATTGGGGGATTTGCTACATGATTTCACTGTTAGGTTGCATTCTGGGAAGTATTAATAATTCGTAACATAAGTTATAGCAAATATAAACTGATACGAAAAATCGAATCACACGGATTTTGTTCGACAATCGGTATTTTTCATGAATTGATCTGTTGAGATTTCATACAAATCTTCAAAACAGCATTTTATCCAAATATGAGAACTCATTTTTTTTTAAACACAGAAATTGTGAAACTGATAAGCCAAAAAGGTAATTCATTATAAAAACCAAAAGAAGGCTTTTGTATACAGAGCAACAGTGTGCATTTGTCTCACAAGGAACAGAATGTCTAACTTATAAATAAATCCCATTATCAATTTGAATTTGTTGTAAGTAACCGGCAAGTGCCCGAAGATAACATCCGGCAGCTAAAGTGAGTTATGTTTGTAGAGATACAAGATAATTTCAATCTCAAATAACAGTCGAGTGTGAAATATCAAATTTTTCAAATGCCTCCTAATGCCCACCCCCCTGTTTCCGACTGAGCATATCTTTAATGTTTACATGCCAGCTTTAATGTAAGATAGGGATAAATATGGATGCTAATTATCCCCGAGGTATGATATCGTCTTACAGATGGTACGTTCGGATTGGGGTTGGGGAAGCACTCGAGAATGGATATGCGTTGTTCATGGTTTGGCAGATCTCTTTGGATGCTACGTTTTCTAAAAACAATTATATAACCGCCTAGAGATGAAATCTTGTGTCTCAGTATTTATTAAGACATCTGTGATATACATCTGGCAGGCATGTGAAAATCGCATGCAATGGAGACGTGGATGATGACAGCGAAGGCGATGAAAATTAAACAAATCTATCCCTTACCAAGAACATGCCAATAGCTTATCTTGTCTCAAACACTGCGGCCCATATACTGTATACCCTTTCCACACTCCTCATCCTAACCACAAAACGGAGGTTTGGCAACTGGAATTTTCTGTGATAAATACAACACAAGTGTCGAAATATCTGAACTGGTCCATGAAAGATTGTTAAAACTTTCCACGATAAAACGCATTAGCATCTGGGCCTCCGTTGAGGCTTGACCTCTTCGGCTGGGGTACTGATACTATGCCCGAGACAGATAAACACTGTTAAAGGTTCTATCCGGCTAACGCTGAGCTAGTTAACGGCGTTAGGTCGGTTGACGTGTATTAATCTGAAAAAGCGGCTGCAGATAAAGCTTGTGTATTAATGATGTGAAAACGTTGAAAGGTTTGACGGGAGCTTATGAACTGATACAGGCGTGTAGAGTTTTAGGGTCGGGACGAAAGGCCTCGATCTCACTTATTTACACTATGTGGAACGTTTATAGGGTCGATAGTTTCGGTAATGGCGCAATCAAGAACATGTATCAACATTGATATTTATGCATGATTTATCTATGCTTTTGCATAACTATAGTCACGTCAGTGTTACTTGTTATAATTGACGTTTAGAATAATCAAATTCAGGCTCTGAATCAGTTGCACGAAGGAACGCTAATATATTGTATAGCTGGAACAGTGATGTCATAAACAACAAACAATGTATTGTTTGCATCTTGTTTCAAGAACCCTTAGTCCAATCATGACATGTGTTCTAAAGATGTGACTTTTGTTCATTCCAGATGGTGAGACCAAAGAGGAAGAAATCGATGTTGAAGCGGATTTATCTCATGATCTAGGTCGTGACAAGCCAGTCTCAGACTCGAACCACAAGTCCAAGTGTTCTGGTCTCTTTCCCGATGATGAATGTGTTTCCCCAGTTCCGAGTGTGGGGAGGATTCACGCAGTCGGTTATCTCCCCCTCAATCACGTGACTCAGACTCTTATACAAGTGACGGTCTCAACCAATCAGACTGCGAGCACGATTCACAGCAGAAACCAAAAATTTGGTCCGTGACAGACTTTTTGCACACTACGTCATCAAAAGCTGTGCCCACGTCACCCAAAACATGTGAGAAAAGTGACTCTGTGCGTAGTTCAAGGACAGTGAATCTTTCAAATGGACATGACTTGCATACGGGTACCTCCGCGCACAGTCCCCTCTTTTCATCATACCCCAACCCAGCCGGGTACTCCAACCCCTCATCGTACCCCTTCTCACTCACTAGTCAAGGTTTGGGCAAGACATCGGTTCGGCCGTCCTTTGGGAGATTCAACCCTTACCCTACAGCTCGCCCGACCCCCGCAGACTCGGTTTTCTCTACCCCACGGGATTTTAGCATAGTGCGGGAGGGTGAGTGAAACAGACGTGACGTCACAGTGCCAATACATGTATATACAGTCTCCTTATTTGTGTTTTATTCTGTTTCAATAAATTGTTGAAATCCGTAAGCTAGTGAGTGTCTTTATTTGTAGATTACACTTTGATTTCGTGACACGGTTTTAGCACATTTCTTAGATGATAGACACACGTTGTAGATGCAACGTAGCCACACATGTTCATTTCCACGTGGAATTTACACGGACAAACATTCTGTGAGTATTTATGTGATAACAAAATGTCACATTTGTTTATGTAATCACACATTTCCTCACACAAGTGGAGCGTATCCATGACAGCCATCAACAGTTATAGTCCAGTGATGACATGTTGACATGAAAACAACTTTGGGGTGACATTTACAAGTATAATCAATTTCTGTCAATCACCTAAAGGAGTGATTCTCTACTAACTGTAGCGTGTCATGCATAAGGATGACATATCTGAGTAATGAGGGCCAATTTTGTAGTAAAGTTTACAAGTTAAATTTCAAAGTTCAATTTTCACACCAGCAATAATTAACATATATCGTGTGATAACTAAAGGGAACTTAGCAAAAGTTAATAACATTTTCATCTTAATGTTTCACCTCACAATACCGCGTTTGATTGATTACACGAATAGATTGATTTCAACCATACACAAATAAATAGGTTCTCTATATTGAACACGAACGAAAACAAAAGGTCGTGTCAAAAAGTGTACCCGACAAGGATAAATGCAGATATATATATATATATATAGTTAGATTTCTAATTCAGTCTTTGAACCTGAATTGTTATTTACTTCTTTAATACCAAATAATCCTTCTGAAAGGAGTGTTGAAGTTGTAATCTTATGAACGGCCACACTAGAACGTGGCGCGTCTCGTGTGCTTTTTAAAGGCGCTATCAACGTTATATAACTCGCATGGGATGTCTCAATACCCAGACCACTATATTGAAAGGTCAACGAAATGATCCACACTATAAAAAACATTATATGGGGGTCTATACGTTTCATAATAGAGTGTCTGTGTGACGTTCATTCCACGTGACAACCAAGTGCATTTGCCCCTGCATGACGTCATTACTGTTGAATCGAGAATACAAAGCACCGGAAAAATGCATACAATGTAACAACACACAGTCTATAAAGACTTCTAGTAACGCGCGTCTACTATGTAAGTAAAGGCCACAATGATTGTATATAACGTGAAAGTAATACCGCAGACTGTCTCACAGTCCCTGAACCATATTATGTTTCCAACAGCCTAGCCCTCCCTGCACTGCTAAAGCCCTAAATGAAGCAAGTCTAGATTTCCCCAGGTTCTCGGGTCTCGATGGGGCTCCTTTTCAATTTAAAAGTGTTTATTTGTTACAACCAAAGATATATATTCAGAGACTAAGCGTTATAGGCAACAGTAAGGGTGTCAGTTCAAGCCGGGCGTGAACACACTTCCATAAGGCAAAAATAAGGCTGTAATTACTACAGTGATATATTTCTATATATCATATACGAACACATATATCTACATACGCGAAAGCTAGAAAGAATCAGTTAATTTATAACACAGGCAAAATGTATTTTTGTTAATACTATTTTAGACATTACACAGAATGTTGATTCCATATTTCCATACACAGATGGACGAGCATATACGATCTGGGACTCCTTTCACGAAGCAACCTGTACTAAGGTTGACCTTAACTCCCATTCTTTAACATTGTACTACAATTACCTTAGTCACTTACGATCACCTTAGTTTTCTGTGAAAGGAGGCCCTGGTCTTGTTCAAAATGAGTGTACTTCGAACAGTAGTGCGGTCATTGGTGTTAGTTCCCCACAGGGGCGGTGGGGTAGCCTAATGGTTAAGCGTTGGCTCGTCACGCCGAAGACCCGGTTTCGAATCCCCACATGGGTACAATGTGTGAAGCCCATTTCTGGTGTCCCCCGCCGTGATGTTGCTGGAATGTTGCTAAAAGCGGCTTAAAACCAAACTCAGTCAGTCAGTCAGTCAGTCAGTCAGTTAGTTCCCCACCATTGCCGAGGATGTTATATGTACAGTAACATCTTGTCTCAAAAGTGAAAGATATTTTAGAGAAGAAAAATGGAAGTAAATTGTAACCATACATGAGGTTAAATAAGAGCTTAGGGACTTTCCAAACTTCCAACTACTGTAGACTTGACTGAGTGTATCAGGTTTGCGTCTTGCAGTGTCTTCATGTCAGATTTCCTCATATATTACATCATCCCGATTCCAGGTTTCTCCTGGAGGCTTAACGTCTTGTTGGGTGTTCTCTGGTTTTATAACTAATGATACACTCCGTTGATTATCATGCAAAGTTGCTGTCACAAGAAATGTACGATGGATGTGAGCATTTTGTAGTCTTGAACAAAAAAGGTATGCGTCTTAGAGACAGCACCTCCACTTTGACCTGAAATTCTTCTCTCCCAACCAAAACTCACCTCAATTTGAATCCCACTCCATCAACCCCCTAACACCCAAAACCCACACTCCAAAACTACACCACCTACCCCCGTTTCGTTTCCCCCAAAAGACACGCGCGTACCCCATGAACTAATTATTTGTATCTCAATATGAGTGAATTTCTCTTTCGCGATCCTATTCCTGGGTATGCACACTCTGATTCCACGTAACATTAAGCTGCTTTTTGTCAACGGATGTATGTGTTGCTGATGGAGATCCCTCGATGTACGGGTGTGGTAAAGAGGGTGAATGGTGACCACGGTCATTGCAGCCATAGGGTGTACTCAAGGGATACGGTGTAGGTAGGAATTACTTCCCTTTATCAACTCAACACCACACGTCAATAACTTATTTGAGAGGCATTATCGTCGTCCTTCTTTAGCTCGACATAGTTCCTACCCAGGACACTCTATACCCATGATGTAACAGAAGAAACTGTGAGTGTTGACATAAGTAATTTGCAAGATAATATTATTTTTAGCAGACAATTTGATTATTAAAGTCAAAGGAAATTTAAGACAAATTCAAATACTGTATAAGTAATCAACTCTTTAATCCCCCATTGGGACTATTTTGTTTTGGAATCGTTTACAATGTCCAAGTTCTGATTTCCTCCGATCTGCCACAGGCATTGACGCCGGAAGTCTGGTTTTTGAACCAGGGTGTCTTGGGATCTGAACCAAATGGCAACAATATCATTTGATTCCAGACAAGCTGGCGGTCCCACCAAAATCAACTCCGATCTCCTCCCAAGTGGCCTTTGTTGATTCAGATGCTAGTCGGTAACACCTCACTTTACTAATCTGTTTACACGACGCACTGTTGTACATTGTATTGATATTGTACACTACGTACTGGAGATACATACAGCCATGATACGTGTTGAGCGGGTTCGATTTAACGCCGGTTTAAACAGTATTTCGGTTAGATGAGGGTCAGTTTCTAGGTTTGTCAGCACCATGCCCATACACACGAACACCCGGTGTTACCACTGATCTTCAGTGCCCATCTGTGTGGTTTTCACTTCTATTTTTCCCTATACACCAAACGGAATGTGTTTCTGAGAAGGCAAGACTGAGAATTATTTTGCACCAAGGTTCTATGTTGTTTCATCAATGTCGAAGTTATCTAAGTCCTGCACATTGTGGCCTCCTCCTTTATCGAACTGACACGCCTAGATGTCACTGACATACGTTGTAAAAGGGAATTAAACCTCACTCACCACCACCGCGAATCTGTTGTACGAGTGAAAACAAAGTGAACACTCAATTGTAGACTAACAACCAGTCGCTGAAAAGAACATATTTTACAGATAAAAAACAGTTTATTGTAAAACAAATAAAATATAATGAAAATGAGACTTTCTTCATTTTCAGAAACTGTGGAAATCTAGTCTTGCCACAAAATCTAGACTTGCACGGGTATTCTTGGATATACATTTGTATTTGTTTCAGGGTCTGCATGACAGACTAACACATTGATGGCTAAACATGACACAGACTAGAACGTTTTTTCTATAGAGATGCATATCATACGGGATTTATAGAAGTATATTGATCCTGAGTGTGGAGTGTTCCAGGCTTGTGACATTTTTAGGATTTGTGATTTTAAGTGAAGTCCAATGATCAAGTGTATACTATTTTCCTGACAATTTATGTAGAAACAGTATGGAAGTAACGGCTGAAGGCTTTGGGTTGTGCTGGCAGTGTTTAGGTAAACATATTAGCTAGATTTTAGCAAATGTAACAGGTAGACTAATGTTAGCTAATGTGTGTTCTTTGCGCCATGCTTCGGGGTCTAATCAACAACGCTAGGTAATCTTCTATTGTCATAATGCATTCCAAATGATTAAGGTAATCGACACACCATTATACTAACAAGTAAAAATGATACCCGTGTTTATTTGATCAGCATAGACTTATACTTCTAGTATTCAGTTACCATAGTAACAGGATGCCTGTAGATATAAAGGTGAATTTTATAGATTTCGTGTGTGAAATATACATAAAGACATTTCTATAATATACATTTCACTCTTTTCTGAACAATGTCCACATAATTCTACAGTTTATCTTAGTATATAATGTACATTAGTGTATGGGAGAGAGATAGTTCAGACATTCTACTTCAGATGGAACAAATGAGAAAAACTAATAATATAAGTTCCGATTTTGAAGCTTACAGCCATTTGAATATTTCAAACTTGAGCACAGTGATTTTCAATGGAAATAAAAGCAGTAATGTTAATGACAGAATATTCTTGAAATAGGGTGTCACCTTTGCCATGTCACAGTTATTCGTGAGTGTAAGTGTCTGAAATGTTGCCTCCACTTTGGGTAATCTTTAACCAAACTCATATGAACATGATTATGATTATTGATATGATTATAAGTAACCAGAGGACACTGACGTATTCATCTTAAAATATTTGTTAGGAAACACACATACATTTCATCTAGGTTTTGTGTATATTACACAGGGGAAGATTATGATTTTTAAAACA